GAACCCAGGAGCAGCCCTGGGTCGTCGAACCCAGCCCTGGGTTCGACAAACCCAGGTCGAACCCAGGGCTGGTGTTGGCTGAACCCAGTCCTGGGTTCGTTGGGTTCGTCGAACCCAGGGCTGGGTTTCTTCTCGAACCCAGGGCTGGGTTTCTTCTCGAACCCAGGGCTGGGTTTCTTCTCGAACCCAGGGCTGGGTTTCTTCTCGAACCCAGGCGCCTGGTTCCTTCGAGAACCCAAGAGCTAGGTTCGTTCGAATCCAGGGGCAAAAAAATTTCTGTTTTTTTTTATTTTGTGGGTTTGGTTGTTTGATTAAGATGAAGAATTGTTGGGTTCGATATTGATTGTTTGATTGAATTGATTGTGTGAATGAAGGATATTGAATTGATTATTTGATTGAATTGATTGTGTGAATGAAGGAAGTTTCGAGAAAGAAGATGCCGGAGAAGAAGATGCTGGAGGAAGAAGATGATGCAAAATTGTAATTTGGTGGGTCCCACTTTTGTTTTCGTACTGGGTATGACCATGTCATCATTTATCCACGTGTACAACTGACGTGGCTTAAATTTTTGATATATCTGGGAGTTAACGGACGATTTTTAACGGAAGGACCAAATCGGGGTAAAAAGGGTAAACAGTAGGGACCAAATCAGGGATTTTTTTAGTTCAGGGACCAAATCGGGGGTCCGTACAATAGTTCAGAGACCAAAAAAGGGTTTTAACCTTTTATTTATTAATGTCACACTTTTTTATTTTAATTAACTATTATATTTTTAACTTATTAAGAAATAAAAAAATATAGAATTTAAAAAAAAAAGTAATGTAAGGGTATAATAGACAATTATATTAAAATGATGTGGTATTAATTATTTAAAATATAGCAATAACCCAATCCTTTTTATATTATATCATTCAAGTTTTATTAATATCATTTCATAAAATTATACTTATTTCTTTTTTAATTCTAAATTTTATCCAGTTAATTGTTTTAGATTTGATGCTCTTCATCTTCTATTTAACATTTTTTTTTGTTTGGCTCAACTATTTAGTCATGTTGCATTAAAAATTTATTCTAAATCTATCTATATATTAAGAGAGAAACAAATAAAAGAAAATCATGTTATGTACTAAATAATTTAAGGTACTTTTTGACATATTACAAAACTTTCTTTATTGAGAATTAAAATATCCATATTTACTGAGAATTTGAAACAAAATCATTCCTATTATAAATACTAAGAATGCTATTGTTTCTTTTATTGGTCGATTAAGAGTTAACATTAATGTTTTTTTTGGTTTATTTGGATAATAAAAAATTGAAGGGGAAATGAGGGAAAGTGATGTGTTTTTCCTTCCTTTATTATTATTATTATTTTACATTTTAGTTTAACCAAACAAGCCAAAGGGATTTTGTTTCCCTTAAACCAAACAAGAGGTAAATGCATGGATGATTTTCTTATGTCAAAATTCCTTGGATTGCTTTATTTTCATTCATAAAAAAATGACAAATTTTATAAGAATTTTCATTTTAAAATTCTACTCGACTTTCTATTATTTATTTGGAGGAATGGTTGAATGATTAGCTGAAGAAAAAAACAAAAAGAAAGAGAGCTATTATTATGAAATGTGAAGCCTTTAGTTGGGACAAGTGGTGCGGCTACAATCGGTGCAGAGGCACATAAGGCCTGTAAAGCAAAACCACAAGGAACATAGCCCATCTCTATCGTAGTGGTGTTTGTCTGAATATTTATTGATATATCTTGAACAAGCAAATAAAATATTTTTAATAAAATATTTCTTTCTAAAAATTGTGATATCTGAATATTTATTGATATATCTTTGTTGTAGTGGTGCTTTGTCTGAATATTTATTGATATATCTTGAACATGCAAATAAAATATATTTCTTACTGAAAAACTGTGATAATAAACTATCATAGCCCATCTCTCTGTAGTGGTGTTTTGTTTGAATATTTATTTATATATCTTTGAACATGCAAATAAAATATTTCTCACTGAAAAACTGTGATAATAAATAAATCTCAATTTTTTAATTATGAAAAAGAAATAAAAATAAGTAAGACTAACCTCAGAAGAATTTGGGGGCTGGGTGAAGACATCATGTACCGTGGAAGGGTGGATGATTGGAGGAGGAGGAGGGGTGGATGTGTTTATACCATAAATTAAAAAAAAAAATTGAGATAATGTCACGTATCAAAAATTTTAAATAAATAATGAAGATTTAAATCATATTAAATTTGTTATTTTGGGTCTTAAGATAGATTAACTGTCACATTGAAAAAAAAGAGAAAAGGAGAAAAGATAAGGTTTATCTTTTAATTCCCTTTTTTAAAGTTAAATTAGATTTGTTGTGGTTGAATTCGAAGAGGAAGTTAAAAAAAATATAAAATTAACATTTTTATTTATATTTTTTCTGGAGCAACCTCCGCTCTACCATCTGGCACATGCGAGTTGCATTCGTCCTCATATCCCTAAGTTCCGATGCAACAGGATTTTAGGGCTCCCTTTGTTCCGCTCCTCTCTAATATCCATCCAGGTCCTAACAAAAAACCAACAAGGGGGGCCTCTCGCCTTTGCACATTTCTGACGCTGAGGCTTTTGCTGATTGTACTTCTTTGTGAGTTTTGTTTATTTGTAAGAAATTGCTCAATG